CTTAAAAATAATGAATGATGTTTACGAATCTGTGGGTTATGATGATGTGGCTACAGGAGCTGCAGCTGAAGATGCCAAAGCCATTACAGAAAGGGTGAAAACACACATGCACACTTTTTTATATAACAGCAATTTAACAGCCTGCAATTATTCAACTTTCTACAGAAATTGAGGTCATTTCACACACTTTCACACACTGGAAAAACAAAAAACAAAAATAAGCAGTCTTGAGAAGTGGTGACCACACGCTGCCTCTGAGGTTAAATAAACAGGTGAATAAAGAAGGTGGCAGTGTTCTGGGTGGCGTGGAAGGAGGGCGGGCTTCCCTTTGACCCTCAGCTACGTGAGAGACGACAGCCAGCAGCAAAGAGGAGACTAACACAAAAACTCAGGGTAAGATCATACCACCACCCAGATGATATTGGGGCCTGCTTGTTACCTTCAGACATAAACCCATTGGGGCAGTGTTACTGGGATGTTTAGCCAAAGTAACTGAAATAAACTATATTTAGTCTGAGACACACACACACGTTATACATGTTTTTAGTAAATGTGTTAATTTAAAATTAAATAAAAGGGACATTTGCAACAGAAGTGGGTTATTACACTAGCTCATTACCCTTTTCTCCATCTCAAGCTGTGATCGGTCAGCGTAGCGTTCCTGCCTCTGCAATGGGAAACAAAACTGTGTCAGAAACCTTTACAATCCCATCAGGATGTTTAGCCATGCCATGAAGTGCTTCTCCATACCTGTGTGGCCTTCTCTAGTTGTAACTTCAAGTCTGCCAGCTCCAGGTCTGTGTCACGTAACTGAGCCTTCAACTTCTCGTTGTCAGCTAATGTTTGCTCGTAGAGCTGAAGAGAGGACCAATCAGAGCCAACAGTCAGAAAGTGCAGCAGTCAAACTATTTATAATCAAAGATTTGTTGAGACTGGCCTACCCGCTGAGAAATGGGGCACATACATAAGCTTTGGTTTGCATTTTTAGCTTGTTTTTCTGTTTAGTTTTAAGCTTTTAAAAAAAGTTTTGGTTTACAAAACCAAACCTCAGAGACGCGCAGACATCCCAGCCTCAAATATGCACAAAGACCCTGCTAAAGCTCACTGTGTTAAAAATGTCCTTTGTGTTTCCAAAGCAAAAACCTGTGTTACATTTATTTTTATTCTTGTTTAGTCACTTAACTAAAATGCATTTTTACATAATTCATTTTACTTTTAATTAGAATAAATTTGGGCTTGAGGCAAGGTTTTATTACTCTACCATCTGCCTGTTTAGGCCATTAGAAATTAAAAAGGAAGCCTATGTTTTGTTAATTGGTGCATGTGCAGTACCATTGATACTTTACAATACTTGCACAAGACAACAATGCTCGGTCCTACTTATGTTGGACCTAACATCGGCTTTTGACCACCACATCCTCCATGAAAGGCTTAAACACTGGGTTGGTGTATCTGGAACTGCCTTAGAGCGGTTGTCCTCATATCTACATCACTGATCTTTTTCTGTGGTGGTCTCCGATTTTAGGTCATCCTCGACCTCCCTCACTTGTGGTGTCCCTCAGGGTTCGGTTTTGGGGCCTTTATTGTTCTTAATACATCTTCTTCCCAGCATATAATGGGCTCTTTTGAGGACATTCCTTATCACTGTTATGCTAATGATATTCAGTTGTACATCTCTTTTAAACCCCAGGATTTATCTAAGCTTTAGCTTCTGAATGACTGCTTAGATTCCATCAAATGTTGGAACATTGGGAAAACTGACGTCCTCATATGCTCTCAGTGCATGTTAAATCCTCCATCGGGAATTTAGGTATCACTTTTGACTCAACTCTTACATTGGATGGGCATGTGAAATCTCTGGTTTGGTCTTGTTTTTAATCATTTAAGAAATGTGGCTAAGTTAAGCCCTATTTTATCTCGCTGTGAACTGGAGATTGCTATACATGCATTTATTTCCTCACGTTTGGACTATTGTAACTCGTTGTTTATGTGTCTAAGCAAAGGTTCTCTGGATCGTCTACAGGTTGTGCAAAATGCTGCAGCTAGGCTGTTGACAAAATCCTCCAAGTATTCAGTACACTGGCTTCCTGTTGAATTTAGAGTACATTTTAAGATCCTGGTCTTGACATTCAAAACCTTGCATGGACTGGCATCATCCTACATCTCCGATCTGCTACAGCCCTATGCCCCTAGCAGGTCCCTGAGGTCATCTGATCAGGGCTTACTTGCTATAAAGCAGACTAAGATGAGAACTAAGGGTGAAAGAGCTTTTGCCACTGTGGCCCCAAGACTCTGGAACGCTCTCCCTCATAAATTAAGAACCCTGGACTCTATAGTTGTTTTTAAAAAACAACTCAAAACTCACCTTTTAAAAACTGTTTTTGGTTAATTTTTTGCCTTTTTTATATTGTCTGTTTTACCTTTTTATTATTTGTCATCTTATGTGCAGCACTTTGTGACTCTGTCTAAAAAGGTGCTATAGATATTTTTTATTATTTATTTAACAGTACTGTGCTAAAGTCTTAAGATTATTATTATTACTATTAGGCCTCACTCCTTGGAAGCAAAATGTAAAGAAATGAAGGATGTCTCAAGACTTTTGTAAAATACTTTATGTTTACGAGTTTGAGTTCTTTTGAAAATAAATACCTTCTTGTAGTCAGTGGTGTCATCTTTATCCAGTCGGCTAGAATACGGCCTTCGACTTTCACCGTAGCTACGGGTAAAAAGAGTGTCATTACGATCTAAGGATGAAGTGCTCTCATTCCTGCAACAGTAATGACAGGCATTTGTTTAAAACAGAAACACACAGAAAGAGAGAGAAGCAAGTTTTTAGGTCAGTCAAGCAGCCTGGGAGCTGCTAAATTTGAATCCACCAATCAAAGAGGCTGTGTACTTTTTCCCGCCAAAACAGGTGCAGCCGTTTTTACACAC